TCCGTGTTAAGGACAGAATGAATGGGGCCATGTATCTTGAGATTCTGAGCCAAAACCTCCTTCCATCAGTGAGAGATTTGAAGATGAAACGTGGCTGGGTCTTCCAACACAACAAGGATCCCAAACACACCGCCCGGACAACAAAGGAGTGGCTCCGTAAGAAGCATTTGAAAGTCCTGGAGTGGCCTAGCCAGTCTCCAGACCTCAACCCCATAGAAAATCTGTGGAGGGAGTTGAAAGTCCGTGTTGCTTGGCGACAGCCCCAAAACATCACTCTCTCGAGAAGATCTGCATGGAGGAATGGGCCAAAATACCAGCTACTGTGTGTGCAAACCTGGTAAAGACCTATAGTAATCGTTTGACCTCTGTTATTGCCAACAAAGGTTATGTTACAAAGTATTGAGTTGGATTTTTGTTATTGACCAAATACTTATTTTCCACCCTGATTTACAAATAAATTCTTTAAAAATCCTGACATGTGAATTCATGGATTTTTTTTTCACATTCTGTCTCTCACAGTTGAAGTGTACCTATGATGAAAATTACTGACCTCTGTCGTCATTTTAAGTGGGAGAACTTGCACAATCGGTGGCTGACTAAATACTTTTTTGCCCCTCTGTAAGTGTTGCATTTATGTAACTTTTACTTCCTGCTAATATTTGTAATTATTATGATTACATATTTTCTTTGGTTTTAGTATTTCATTTTATTATTATGAACATGTTTTTATTACCTACTTTAATTTTTTATACCTCTGGTGTTCTTAGTTTATTGTATTTAGAACATAGTTGAAATCAATTTATCTTATTATTAATTTCTGTGGTTTGATGTTTCGTGTTTTGTAATTGTTGCTGTTATTTTCAGTCAAATTTTTTATCATTCTTCCTGTAAAGCAGTTGTTGTTACATTAAATTATACAAAGAGACGTTTATAAAAACTATTTGACAGGTTTCTTTTATCCTTGAACTTCTGGTTTTGCCGTCATGTTTTATCTGGTGGTATGTTTTTCTTTAGACGCCGACTTATTTATTTAAAAGAAAAAGCATTAATGAAACTCCTGAAAGTGAAAATATAGAACAGAAGAAGTCAAAAACATTATAAAATTCACTTTAATGGTTTGGTTTTTGAGTACAGTGGTTATTTCTGCGCTCTCTGGCGTTCACAGACAAAACAAACATAAAATAATTACTGGAAACACAAAAAATATAGCTTTCTGATAACATCTGTGGCTCAGTCTAGTTGTTACAACAGGTACAAAAGCAGCTCCCTGCACCTGTAAAACACACTAACAAACATTTAAAATCTGTCCAAGCTAATACTTTAAAATTCTGTGTGGTTCATATAACGACAACTATTTACATACAGTTTGAAAAAAATATGATTTAAACAAATATATATATAAGGTATGAGTCTGAAATTAACAAAAATAAACACTGATTATTCAAACATGTGGTAAAATACATAATATTGATTGAAATTAGAAAGTTCCATTATCTACGTTCAAGTGCTAATAATTAGGAAGTACAGGAGGGCAGCTGAGTGGCAGCTCCTGTCTTAGTGGCATAGGTCAAGGTGCAGCTCAGAGATCTGGGGTCCAGGGGCAAAAGGTCAGGGGTTACAAAAGTTCAGTCAAACTCTGAGAAAACAGGTTAACATGGAAAGGAAAGAGGAGAGGAAGAGAAATAACCGGGTCAGATTCCTTCCACTCACCACCTTGGTTGAGAATGATAGCATTGTGTTGCAGCACAAACACAGATTTTTCTTTGCTTACACACGCAGGTCAGAGTTTAGTCAAAGCAACGTGGGGCGGTCCGACTGGAACACATCAGGGCTCTGAAGGTGAGAAGTGCTTGTTGGTTCTTTTTGCCATTTCTACAGAACCTCTGCAGCCTTACGGTCTCCGTTCACAGCTGCTGGTGGACCAGAGCATCAAAAAGAACCAGGAGGCTGGTTGCTTTAAACCAGATGAACGGCTGAGTGCATGCCTCCAGACAGGAACTTTACAACATTAGCAGCTTAAAAAAAATAATCTTACAAAATATAACTTTTGTTATTCACGTGTAAAAAAACAGACTAAAATATAACCATGTAGATCCTGTTTTTCACTGGGTCACCATATGTGCTTTTTGTATTCCACATGTTTGATGAATGCTGGTCACATCCGTATGCCAGAGTGTGTAAGCATGCATTAGATTGTACTCTTTTTATTAAATCCTTCTCTCCATACCTCAAACCTATTCCTGTCCTATTGCAGTCCATCTGTTCTTTTCTTCTGATTTGTGAAATGATTGCATACACCTGCTAGCAGACAGTCTGCTGACTGGACAGCGGACTCTCCAGGGACATGCTTGTGGGAGACAGGTCTGTACGAGTGCATGGTTTAAACATGGAGGAGATGTGAAAAGCCTGCAGGCACAGACAAAACGCATGTCAGGAGATACACACGGACCACATGTGCTATCAATCACTCTCTATCTATGACTGTAGACATACCACCCAATAAGCAGTGAGCCCCCCCTGGATGAAACCGGTGAGGACATCAGTGGGATGATGGCGATAATCAGAGATGCGGCTCAGGCCGGTGTAAATGGCAACCATCACTAAGAGAAACTGCACAAGTGGGCGCAATAACCGACCTCCTCGCCACGATACCCTCGCCTGTAGGTAGAACTGCAAAAATGCAAATATATGTTTTTATTGGTCACTCTATGAACTACTAATGCATGCATATAGTCATAAAGTATGCCCCACAAACATGAAGCTGCCATTAGGTTTAATGACTAAAGTTGTGAAAAGTCAGACACTTTAAATGAAACATCGATTCAGTTTGAGCCCAGAGGGGGAAACAGCCTTGCGTTCATCTTACACCTTCTTTTGTTCATTTTCATCCAACACATCAGAGCTGCGGTATAAAACTCGTTAGTGGTTCACAAAACGACGTCAAAGACCGGCTGTGATGAAGAGATGGCTTCATGAGGTGGTTGGAGGTCTGTCTGGGCTCATCAGCCACTGGGGCGCACACGGCCGACATTCCTGTGGGAAAGCCAATCTCACATGGTCTATCTGTGCGTCTCCTATCTCTGCAGCGAGCAGGTGTCGCTCCTCGTGTGTTAGCAGCTGGCTAGGATCGGGATGGCGTGTACCTACAGGTTCAACACATTCTCTCCAGTTTGTCTGGAGCCTTTTGAGACATCAGCCGGTAGCAATCTAGTGTGTGTGTGTGTGCGTGCGTGTGTGTGTGTGTGTGTGTGTGTGTGTGTGTGTGTGTGTGTGTGTGTGTGTGTGTGTGTGTGTGTGTGTGTGTGTGTGTGTGTGTGTGTGTGTGTGTGTGTGTGTGTGTGAGTGTGTGTGTGTGTGTTGGACTTCTCACATCTTTACTATCCGGTGATTTACTTCCTCCTCGTTTGTCTGACTGAGTCCCACTTTGACGTTTAGCTTATTCGTCTGACTAATGAAGGCTTTTTCTCACTGTTACAAGTGAAACTGATGATTTCTTTGTGAGATGCTCTTTCTTTGTTGTGAATTTAGGTCATGAAAGCTCTCAGGAGGAATGTGATTATTCTATGGTTAATGTGCTTTTGTCTCCTTCCAACTGTCACTGTCACAATGCAGCCATGAGCACTGGGCAGAGCATTAATAGAGTGATAAAGAGATCGGGGGGGGGGGGGGGGGGGGGGGGGGCGATCACGAGGGTGTCTATTGCTGAAAGAAGCCCGTCGATCCCTCAGCAGGCATGTTCAGCCCTCCACCACCACCCTCTTCTAAATGAGACCCACAACAAGGCCTCCTCTGTTTGTGGACTCTTGCTCTATTCATGCTCCCTGTGGAAAACAGTCTCCCTCTTTCTCTCCCACCCACCTCTGCCCCCCCCCCCCCAAGCTCTGTTGCTTTCGGTTTGAAGCAGGGTGCTTGCTGGGAAACGCTGCTCTGAAATGTCCCGTTTTGCAATCACAAGTGAAAGTCTTTAACGGCACGTTTAATGGTTCACTCATATTTGACAAGTTTTGTTATTAACTCAGTCTTCTTTGGCCTGAAGGGAGAAACGTTGGTTATTGTGTTTGATAACGGTCAAATTTCCAAAACCTTTTTGCACCAGACATGGTCATGTGGTCTAAAGTAAACGTGAAGAGCACATTCCTGACGTCATTCTGACAAAGTGAGAGTGACAGTGAGAGACTTACTGCCAAATAGAGCATGGTGTACATCGCAAAGGAAGCATGGCCGGAAAAAAACGACTTCCTGAAAGAGAAAAATCAATAAAACAAAGCCTCATGTTACTCATTAAACACCTGAATCAACCCCACCCACAGTAAACAGTACAGACATACACACACACACACACACACACACACACACACACACACACACACACACACACACACACACACACACACACACACACACACACACACACACACACACACACACACACACACACGCACGCACACACACACACACACACACAAGCTACACACCTTGCTTCTTCGACTAACTTAGCGTTGGGCTGCCTGCAGGTGACCTGAGAGATGTAGCTGCCGGGGGTGCAGTTAATGGACGCATACGTGATGTTACAAACAGACAGGAAGTATGGGCGCAGGCGACCCACGCTCAGCTTGGCCATATTCGTGAGAGACTGACACACACAGCAACCAAACAGGAAGCTTCCTATTTCCTTGTACAAGCACGACACATAACGATTTTGAACAAAGGCACGTGAGTGTACGCCTCGAAAACGAACCCGGTAACATTCAGCCAATGCGATCTGAAAAAGAAAGGAGAAACTGGTTAACAGGTGATATTACAATGATAAATGTAAAGTTTAATGAATACTATTGGCTGTACTGTTAAGCCAGTGATGGCAATGCCTCCAGCGGTGAGCAGGCTGTCGGAGATGGTCTCTCTCTCCACGTAGGGATAGGTGATGGTGGTGTCGCCGCAGAAAAATCCTCGCTTATACGGAGTCACTGCCTTCATTTCACACGCAAAAAATGGGATGGAGGCTGATAACAATAAGAAAGAACAGGGGGGTTAAAGATGGTCAGATGAATATCTGAGATATGATTTAAACAACAGGGATCAGGGTGGCTAGGGTCCAGATACGGAGGCCTTTTGAAGCACATAAAGGTGTTTTTCTCATGACACACAAGAGAATGTCATGAGATGCCACCTAGGATGAGCAGCAATATCACGTGTCTTCCACTGGAAACATGATCTGCAAATATCTGGAGATCAGGCATTCCCGTCATAGCTGCTTCAACCAGGAGAGAAAAAAGAAAGAGAAGAGTGGACAACTAAGGAGAGACAAAAGGGACAGGGAAATGATGAATGACCGGCACTATAGCCCCTTTCAGAGGACTCCAAAGCGCTTTACACTGCAGTGTATCACTCATCCACCCAATCACACACACATTCACACACTGGTGGTGATGAGCTACAGTGTAGCCACAGCTGTCCTGGGACACACCGACAGAGGCAAGGCTGCTGTGCACGGGCGTCAGTGCCTCCTCCAGCAGGCAGGGAGGGTCTTGTTCATCTCCTTTAAGCCCCATGAGACATCTAAGCTGCAGCTGTTACACTCCTGCTTAGACTCTATCAGAACCTGGATGGTGGGAGCTTTCTTCAGCTGAATGAAGATAAGACTGAGATCCTCATCTGTGCCCCAGACAAGCTGGTTCCCAAAGTCAGAGACTCTCTTGGTCAGCTTGCTTCCCACACCAAACCTTCTGTCAGGAATCTTGGCGTGACCTTTGACCCAGCTCTCACCCTGGATTCTCATGTCAGTTCTCTTGTTGGCTCTTCCTTCTTCCATCTCAGGAACGTTGCTAAGCTGAGTCCCATTCTGTCCCGCTCTGAACTTGAGACAGTTCTCCACACCTTCATCTCCTCACGCTTAGACTACTGTAACTCTCTTTTCACGGGTCTGAGCAGAACCTCCCTGAACCGTCTACAGGTGGTTCAGAACACCTGTGCTCGGCTTCTGACCAAGTCCAAACACACCCACATCACCCCGCTTCTCCTCCAGCTTCACTGGCTGCCAGTCAACTTCAGGGTTCATTTCAAGATCCTGGTTCTGGTCTATAGGGCCTTTACATGGACAAGCACCATCTTACATTGGTGATCTTCTTAGTCCCTACACCCCCAGCAGGTCCCTGAGGTCCAGTGATCAAAGCCTACTGGTTGTGCAGCACCAGGCTAAAGGTCAAAGGTGACAGATCATTTGATGCTGTGGCCCCCAGACTCTGGACCTCTCTCCCCCTGAGCCTGAGATCAGTGGACTCAGTGGTCTCCTTTAAAAAGCAGCTGAAGACTCACTTGTTCAAGCTGGCTTTTGTATGACCTTCTTCACCTCTCTCTCTTTATTCTGCTCTCCCCACCTATTCCACCTTCCTCAGGATCCACTGATTTCCCTCTTTCCTATGCACTCTCCTTCTTAACATTTTTTCTTTTAAATCGCAATTGCCTATTTTTGCTCATTTTAAATATATTTTTAAACATTTTCTAAATGCTTTTTTATATTTTTACATTTTTTTATTTTTGTGAAGCGCCTCGTGATTTTTATCTTGAGAGGCGCTATAGAAATGATATTTTCTTCTTCTTCTTCTTCTTCTTGCCCAACGACACAACAGCAGAATTCTCTGCTGGAAACCAGGATCGATCCTACAACCTTCTGATTACTGGACAACCAGCTCTACCTTATGAGCTACTGCTGCCCTTGAGGTGAAAAGCATGATGGAAAATTCAAAAAAGGTGGAGAAAACATAAGAGGAAAGAGGAAGAAGATTTTACTGAACAGGTTAACAAAAACAAGTCGGTGGGCTAAAGATGGGGTCACGGGGAACTCCTGGAAAAAGAACTAACCGGTTTTTGAATCCAGCTAAACTTAGGTTAACTGCAGTTCCTGGTTGGTCAATGATTATAGGAGCTCTGTATCAGAAAATAAAGGTCACGGTCTGGTTCTGTTGAGTAAACAAACCTCACAGTGTGAATGTGGAAAGTCCAATGAGCAAAATTGACAAGAGGAGAAACTGTGTTCCAGCACACCCTCCAGCTCCAGCGAACAAGTCCCCTATCCCATGTCCCCTTGTCACTCGGTGGAATGCAGTGAGAACATGGGACTAATCATTAACCTCTGTGCCTCTCCTTCTCATCCCAGGCCTGCTGGTTGGCTGGAACGCACCCAGAACCAAACTCATCTTCTGCCAGGGAATCTCTCAGGCTACGTGACTGAGGAGCGCACAAGACTGAAATCTAAAATCAAGCTGAAGGGAACAATGAGAAAAATGCACAGAAGAAAACAAACAAGGCTAGTTAAATGTGTTTTTACTAGTGAGTGAATAAAAAAACGCCAAAGCGTTAGTGATTGACATAACACGTGCGAGTGTGTTCCCTTAGATTTAGAGTGTAATAATTTAAAGCTGTAGGACAGAAAAACCCACAAGGAGCTGTAGCCAAACGCTCTAATTAAAGATTAGATTTAGATTAAATACGTCCTCCCACAAAAGCAGCATGTGTCTGTGAACTCTATTCAAAGTCACGCTGTCCTGACAGAAAGACAAAACATAGGGATGTCCAGGAAGTCAGGGAGGGAAGAAGAGAGGGAAACAGAGCAGACAGATAGCTGAGGCCATGACGCCAACAGAGAAAAGAAGACAGATACGAGACACCTCTCATCTCTCATCTATCTCCTCCGGCTGCCACGTCTATGGGCAGAACACACACACACACACACACACACACACACACACACACACACACACACACACACACACACACACACACACACACCTTCTGCAGGAATCCTTTATCATTTACTTGGAGCTTTGACTTTGGTCTCAAACCTTCTTATCACCTAACCCCTGAGATGGTAAATTCATTCGGTACCACTTCAAATGTTAAACACACACTTGTAAAGCCTGCTAAGGTGATTTAGACTCTAAACATTGTGGCCTTGATTTTCTGATGAATGCCACAGAGAGGGCTTTTGAATGTTTGGTATAGTTGGAAGAGAGGTCCAGCAGAAACGTTGTGTGTCATCCATAAAAAACATTTTTTCGATGTTTTAATCTGCAGTTTACAATATAGCAGCTGAGTAATAATCAGAACTGTATTTCAAATGTAATTTTACAGAAACTATCAACAAAACAGATGTTTTCATTAAAGTTATGCCTTGTGCAGGCTAAACTCGTGTGCAGCTTGTGGAAAAGTCAGTACAAGTTGGCAGAACGAGGGCAAAACACACATGCAAAAACATTCCTTTGTGATTAAGATTTTTTTTGTAGCAGCACTCAGTGTAATCAAAGATTAAATGTCCTAAAAAATTATCTATCAACCCATCCATTCAGCCATCCATCCATTCATTCATTCAGCCATCCATCAATTCATTCATCCATCCATCCGTCCGTTCGTTCGTTCGTTCATTCATTCATTCATCCAACAGTAATTTGTAACTTTAAAGGCTTTTTACCAGATTTCTGCCTCTAAAATGATATGGTGTTTTATATGTAGGATGTTCCGGGATGTCACTTTGTCATTGACATGCTTTAAATGTAATTGAACCAGTTTTGTAACAAACAGAGTGCAGCTTTTTGCTTTCCATAAAACCCATTAACAGCCTCTCTCTGACTTCTGGACAGGTTTTACAACACAGCTAGTACACTTCACTAATCAATATGTTGCTACATTGACTGAGAGATAATGGATGGGGCCTCCATTAGGGCCAAACCACTCTGCAGTTGCACAATGAAGGTGGACTTTATAAGGGATCATTTTCACTACATACGGTCTAATGGGAGACATGAAGTGCTGAGCCAGACTGAGGCATGTTTTATCATCCGGTGCTTGGCAAGAAGGATGGTGCAGGCAGTCTTTTTCTTCTTTGTGTGTGTGTGTGAGGGGGGTATAAATGATTGCAAATTAAAAATGAAATGCATAGCCTATTAGTGAAGCATGTCAAGACATTTAACTACAAAACTAACTTTAATATAATGTTGAATTAAACTTACAGCACAAAACAAATCTACAGCACAGTAACATGAAAGTAGTTCAGGATGTGCAAAATTACATTAGAAGCTTCTGTGTCAATCTCTGTGCGTTGCAACCACATTCAGTTTTCACAACAAGACTCCAAAAAACACTCCAGGGACTCACATCATCTGTCAGGCAGCTGTGAGCAAACCTCTGCACCTGGCCCGGACATGCTTAAAACAGAGCCAAAACTGGAAGGCCTGTGAGGGAACTGAAAGCAGGCAGAGAAGTGGGTTGGCTCACACAGCCGAGCCCAAATGTGCTGCTCGCTACGCCTGGGATCCAAAGCCAGAATGCTTTCAAACACTCAAAGGGGACAGAAAGAAAGGAGGGAGGAAGGAGAAATGGGGATACGTGCCTCACTCTGAAAACTCTTCTGGTTCTCATTTACACATCTATGACCACAGCGTAGAATGAGCTCACTGTGAGGGGAGAAAACAACAAAATAAAAAAGGCTCATGAAGAAAGCGGTTAAAGGAAAAGTGCAGACAGAAAGAAACCGATAGCAGATTGATGCTAACTAAAAACGGGGCTAAAGTTTATGATTGATTGTTGACAAATGAAGCTGGATGCACTAAAATCAGTGTGAGACAAAAATGAAATGATGGAGGAACGAAAGATGTAGCAAGAGTTTCTCTATGAGGAACAACAGACGGAGGCGATTAGTGGTGGTTCTGGAATGTGGGGGTCAAAGATCTGGGCTCTGCTGGGACCCGCTCTGTAAACACGACCCCGCCTCAACCAGGAAAACACCTAAAGATTTAACACACAAATATACACTTAAAAATCACATTTTGGATGAAATGACCCAAAGCAAAAAGAAAGACAAACAAATAACCAGCGCATGGGCAACAATAAACCAACAAAACAAACCGTGCCGAAGCAGAAAACCGCATAACATTTAACACAATCCTAAAGGAAAGAGACAAGAGAAGCTGCTCATTCAGAATCATAGGTCTAAAGAAACGAGTGTGAT